CAGGAATGATTTTAGTGGCCATCTCAAAGTAATTTTAGCTTTAATAAATCCCATAACATGCCATGACAACCTTCTGTCCCCTAATCATATTCCATTTAAAAACAGCCCTTAAAATTGTAAGGGTCGAGTATATTATTGATTCACATACCCTGCTTGCAATGTTGATGGCCGTGTCAGACTGGCTCCTCCTTTCCCTCCTCCGATTCGCATCCTGGCCATAATCTGTAGTTAGGAGACTCTTGTCAGCCGTCACGTCATCATGGGACTTTGAGATTTCTTAAATGAAGACAAGAAAGAGAGAAATGTTACAAAGTGTCAGCATGGCTAAGAGATTTTGGAGGCTAATCCTATGCTTTTCAGATCTTTTAGACTACACATCTACTATTGCTCTCCTGAGAGGAAGAAATGGATAGGAAAATAAACACCTGCCCCATTTTCTGTAATTACATTCAGCCAATATAAATCCACCCTGCAGTTTCAACTGGAAAATATATTCTTCACTTCCTGTCTTCAGCTTCTGTACAGAGTTATTTCAGGCTACTAAATAAAGTTTCTCACAAAAGTGGCTGAAATTCAGAGGAGGATAAAACAATGATTCATGTGTATAGCTTACATATTGATTTCCGAAGCACTTTGGGTTCCTTTGAGATAAAAGCTACTACATAAACGCAAGATCATTATAATAATTTACAGGAGTGCCATAGTGAAAGTTAGGAAGGTGGAGACTATCAAAACAGATCTGAAATATGGAAAAAGTCAGAAACATTGTATACCCAAGCTCCAAGCCAGGCATTTTAAGTCATAGGCATGACTTTAAAATATAAGCAGCCCCATTACCACAAGTAGGATTACTCATGTGCTTATTGTTATACTTAACTACTTTGCTGAATCAGGACCTCAGTGCAAAGAAAAACACGTTTCTCAGGGGATTTGTACAGTATTATAGTTAATGCAACAAGACATGGTAATGGATTGTATCTTTACGGCTTCATATCACTGGCCAAACATATCTGCCAGCACACTCAAAACTTTAAATGTAATGGTTTTCCACATCTTTCACCTCAGAATGCAAATCAGGGGCCCCATTATTTTGGAGGAGTAAGCTCCTTTGTGCTTGTTAGAATTGAAAACTGGAAATCTCAGCAAAAGATACCTTCTGTGCTGCAAACAATAAGCAGATTCTTACGAAGAATTAATAATGTTGCAGTACAAGTGGTGCATAAAATACCAATAGCCATATATAATTCATAGTGGAGAATAATACCTCTTTCTTATAGTGCAAGATATTGACTGCTGTTGAGGGAACCTCACTCAGAAGACCCTATGTGTTTTGATACTCAGAAACAATGGGAGTCCAGCGTGTACAACCTTTAAAGACACTGTGCTACTGAGAACAAAAACCAAGTCAATCAGTCCTCATGTGTTTATTGTACTTAGTTTATACAGTAAACATGTCAGGAGATACATTCACAGTCTCAGTCCTAAATGCAAGTGGATTTTTTGAGTGTGCATTTATAAAAGGTCTGGAGTGACAGAGGGTCTAACCTGAAGGTTTAATATCAGATTTGGACTTGAGGACATAACTCAATCCCTTCATGCCAGGAAACACAACTTTCTCTGTCTCCTGTCCCCCATGTTTTTGCCCTGATTAAAACAAGAAGCAACAGCCTACACTTCTTTTATGGCTAAAGAGATTCTGGTCCTAACCCAAATGGCCAAGGCTTGTATTTTGTCATTGAAAGTCCCAGGTTCAGTCTTGTGATCTATCTACACTTAGAACTATTGAAAAACATAGTGAATTACAGAGGCATAATAAGTCAGCCTGTGCAGATGAAGCAGCTGTTATTTTTCTGCCGTCCCTCTAAGTCAGCTGCTGCCCAGGTCACCTTAGTTATGCTAGTGGTAAATTATTCCATATGCTGTTCTGTGCTGCTGTATCTAGACTGCTTCCAATATGTAAACTGGCTGGTTTAAAGCTTACTTGCTTACTTCCATGCTATAGCACACCCTGTGGTGCAGACAGGCCCACTACTACCTTTGGTTATGCACATATGGATAAATCATTTCCTCCATCAGGTGCAGGATGTTTCTAGTATATTAAATAGGAGATATATGGGATTATACATATCAAAATTTGCCTTCTCAATTTACTGAAGAACAGGAGGTAGCATAAGTAAGTAAAAGTGAAAGGAATGAGGACGACAAAGATTATTCAGACTAAAAGAAGAAGAAATGGTTTTACAAAGATACAATCACAGAGAGCTCAAAAGAAGGGGAAAGAGGAGAGAAAGTTTTAAAAATCTGATCAGAAAGAAAATGAAAGCTTTAATGGGTGAAAATCAAACCAATACTTTTAGGCACACTGAGAGCTCAGGCCCTTTGAGTTCACAGACATGAGGCAGGAGCCTAAGTTCCCTATAGTTGGCTCTAAGGGTCACTGGATTAAAAAAATTTTAAAAAAAATTGGTGTAGGGAGCAAGGACTGGAATCCAGGACTCCTTCCCCCCAAGGTGAGTGCCCTCATCACTAGGCTCCTGAGTCAGGCTACCTCTTACTTGTTTTCTCTGTGGCCCCATGACTTACATTTCTTTGTGCACAATGGCTCCATGTTAATAGGAGTCATGGGGAGTATGCTGAGGCCAGCCAAGCCCCCAGCTTGGTGGTTAGCACACTTCCTTTGGATTTGAACCCCTACAGGCTGAGGATGGCTTAAAACTCAGGTCTCTCACTTCTTGGGCAGCTGCTTAAAATACTAGGCTATTATACAAAACATAACCACTATCACCAAATTACTTGCCACCTTCTCAATGAAGGTCACCATGAGAGTTGTACTGAATGCTTTCGGTGTACACTGAGAATCCAAAACAGCTTCACCTCCATTAAAAAGGTGGCACCTCTGTACATGTGTAGCACCTGAACATTAGGCCCCTGGCACACATTACAATTATGGTGCAATTAATGTATTCATCACACCATAAATTGTAACAGGCTATATTTTCAGCCACTTTATGATGCCATAAACTGGCAAACCAGCCACAAAGATGTTCCCAATGGGGAGAACTGAAGGGCTCCCCTTGCCACAAACCTGGCAACCTTTTCTGTCTTGCCCTGCAAACCCCCACTTTAAAACACGGGGCTGCAGGGAGACAGGATTTGTAAAAGCACAGTTAGGCTAAGGTATGGAGCCCCTGAATAGGGAGAGCCTCCCTGATCTTGGAGTCCTGGTACCCCAGGAATACTAAACACCACACACATGCAGCTGGGCTGTCCTGGGGCTGGGCCAACAATCAGTCAGTTGTCAGACCAGTCCCAGACAGCCCAAGTCTGGAATCTATTGGGGACTGGCAGCAACCCTGGACTGGGAGACAGCCACTCCCTGCCTGATCTGTGGGATCAGGCTGGGGCAGCTCTGCAGTGACATGGCTGGGATAGGAGGAATTTTCTGCCTTATCTCAAACATCACACATCCTTCCGTGAATATTTGGCATGGCAGGAGGTGCAATGTTTGGGATGGGGCAGAAAATTCCTCAGATCCCAATTGCACCACTGTTTTAACATCTGCCTGGGCCTCAGGTATCTACCAGTACATAGTTTTTCTGCAAAAAACTTTGGCACCTAAGGGGTCTCTTGCATCTAACCAGGTTAGGTGGAGTTTCTATGAATTGCTTTCTTGGACTTTGGCACCCGATTTCTATCCAAGATCCATTTTAAGCATTTACGCTTCTGTGTTAGTCTTGCTTTAGCTCCTCCCATCTTTCAGTGAGGAGAGTAAGGTATTCTGGTACAGGTTTACTCAGGGTAGGTGAGATAGATAACCCAACCAAAAAAGGGCATATTGCACACCCCATTAATGATTTTACTGCAGTACTTTCAGTTTCCCCACCTTTTCTTATCTAAACAACTGCTGCATTTTTAAAAAAAATTTTAAAGTGACTTTAAAAAGTCTTTTTGTTACTTAAAAGGAAATAAGAGATGTCTTGGCTGGCATCATCTGCTTTTCTGTTTGACAAAAGAATAAGTTGAAACACTGATGGAAAACTAGCTGTGCTTTGTGACTGTTCTCAGTGTCAGTCACTACACAGACCCCTTACTGCATGATTCACAAATTGAAATGCCTGACCACTTTGCTTTAAAATGACAAAGCACTAAAAGGCACTTACTTCTAATGTGTGTAGCAAGAGAGAGAAACAAATTTTCCACAGACTTGTTAAAAGTTTTAGTTTGATCAAGTTCCTGCAATAGGAAGAAAAAACAGGTATAATAGATGTTTTCAAAGTTTCCTATGTTATCTGCCTTTAGAAACTTCAAGTTAAGCATGAGGGTAAGACTGGAAAAAGGGTATCATATTTATCACCATGCAAAAAGGATATCAGATCTGTCAACAAGCATCTATGAACTCATATTTTGTCATGGATGTAAATAATTACCACCAAAGTGTAGAACTGAGGGTGGTTCCTCTGTTACTCTGTAGGTAATTTCCAAAGCACTTTTGTAAATATAAGCAAACGGCATGCCTGACTGATTTTTAAAATATTTGCTTTTAAGTTAAGGCAAAAAGGGTGTGTTTACACATCCCCGTATGGTGACGCTGTTACTGTGCCATGCTTTAGTACTTCTTTTTGGAAGTACTAAAGTATAGCGCAGTACGGGTGGTTATTGAGCCATGCACACAGAGCATGGGTAAATTTTGCCACTGCGTCATCGTAGCAGTGCACTATACCTGGGGAGTGCACCGCAATCACGTGTAGACACATGTGGTCACTACATCGCCATAGCACATCACAGGGTGATATGTAGATGCAGCCAAAAAGTCTTAACACATCATTTTAAAGCTGCTAAAATGTTTTTAATGTTTCTGGATTCAACTGATCTTTACAAAGATTGGAAGCAAAGCTAGCCATAATGTTTCATCAAAGTCTGGATAAGAATACACTGAAGAACTTCCTATGAATAGGGATGGTTTCCTGAATTGGGATCCAAAGACCAATCTAAAAGTCCATTCAAGTCGATGGTAATCTTTCAGTTGATTTGAATAGGCATTGGATCAGGGCCTAACACCTGCTAGAACGGGGTGGGCAAAATATGGCCTGTGGGCTGGATCCGTCCCATGAGGCCATTCTATCCAGCCCGCAGGGTCCCTAAAAAATTTAGAAAATTAATATTTATCTGCCCTTGGTTCCTGTAAAAAATGACAGGAACCAGGGGCAGTAGGATGCAGGGGAAGCCTGGTGGGCTCCCACAACATCAGGGCCCACCCGGCCCCGCCCCCCCATCCGGAAGCCCTAGCAGGGGCTTCTGGTCTGGGACCACATGGCTGCCTTGGCGGTGCCAGAACCTCAGGTAAGGGGGGGACGGGGTGGCGGGAAGGGCAGGGGAGGAGCCCGGGGAAAAGTGGCCCAGGGAAAAGCTGAGAACGGGGTGGGAAAAACAGCCCCTCACCTGCCCTGTAGCCGGCACCCCGCATTGCTGCCGCTCACAGCCCGCTTGGGGCTGCCTGTGCCTGCTCCAGACAGTCTCGCAGGCTGCAAGTGGCTGCAGCAGGGAGCGTTGGCCATGGACCCGGGGAGGGGCTGCTTTTCCCCGCGCTCAGCTTTTCTCCAGGCTCATTCTCGGCACAGAGGAGAGCAGCCCCTCCCCTGCCCCGTGCCGGGCACACTGCAGCTGCTTGCAGCCCATGCAGGGCTATCCTGAGCTGGCACAGGCAGCCCCAGGCGGGCTGCGAGAGGCTGCAGCGCGAGGTACCAGGCACGGGGCAGGCGAGGAGCCGCTTCCCCCCTGCCCCTGTGCTTAGCACCACCTTGTAAGCCAGCCCCACTTCCAGCCTGGGCCCTGCGCTGGCTCCGGGTTCACCCATTGGGGCTGCGCATGGCGACAGCAGCTGCAGCCCCCCTGCTTGCCGCACCAGGCAGTGTTTGCTACTGTTGCCTCTGGGCTGCCCACTGCACAAGCTCCGGGCGGGAAGCAGCAGCCAACACTGCCCGGCATGGCAAGCAGGGGGGACGCAGCTGTGGGCCCCCGTGGGCGA